TCCCTTAGTTTTCATGGAGTCATAAATTTCCATTTTCATTTAAGGAACAATGAGAAGAATAAAATAAAAGCACTATGTAAGCAAGCCAAAACACCTCATTAGATAAAAGCTCACAGAAGTGATTTAATGTAAATATTCCACTCAACACTTGGCCCTTTTACAGTAAATGACTGAGGCAGACAACAGTTTATTTTTCCATACCTTTCCTTGAAGAGGCTTTTCTTTCACAATCAGACTAACTTCCCTGAAGAAGTAGAGCCAATGCAATCTGAATTTCCTCCAAAGACTTTTTTCCTGGAGTTTTAAGTGTTAATTGTGATGACTGCAGGCACTGATATTGATGAAGAAGGCTATCTTCCTTTCAGCTTCCAAAAGATATGTGAGCAAATCTTACATGACAGAAAACTGAAAAAAATGTATCTCTAAAACTACCAACCCCACTCAAATGGTTATTCATACTCTGGTAGCACACAGGAGTCATTGAGCATTTTCCAACTGCATTGAATACTGTATCAAAACAACAAACACCAGCTACTTCTAACATTTACATTTAACAAGATCTATAGGTCCTATATAACAGAGAGGGCTCAATGACCAAAACTACAGGCAGATAAAGGTATACTGAAGCATTTACAGGAATGTTTACACAAAGCAGTCTCATGCTCTGGGTTCCAAATTGCTCGGATTAACAAGTATTTCTTAAACATTTTTATTATTTCAGTGACTGTGAAGTTATTACTGTAGGCATGTGTGTGGTTTATCAAATAGGAATCTGCAGAAGCAATTTCAAGAAGAACATTAAGTACAATCTTAGATGAAAGAAAATACTTCTGCCTTCTCACACAAGCTTTCCTAAACCTAAATAGCAAACACTAAGTGATCAGACGCATGTTCATCTAGGAAAAATCTTCAGTTTAAGACTTGCTAGACATTTACTACCACAAAGTCTAACTTGTTTATTTAAACAGCTGCAGGAGGAATAGATGAAGGGGCTGATGCATGCTCATTAGCTCTGTTCTGTTGACCTTTTAGAGGTAGGGCAATCTCCTGTAAAGGGCAGGTAACATCTTAAACTACACCAGGTGCCTGAAAAATTAACATTTACCTAAATTATAAGGATTATTGTTGCTCTAATGAATGACTAAAACAATATCTGAAGTCTAAAGAGTTATTTCTGCTTGGGAAGGGAACTGATAGAACAAATTACTTCTTTAACACGTATCTGTTTATTTACAGTGAGCGGGCATACATTCCTCTTTCTCTGAACACTGCTGGAATAAAGTGTACTTTCTTTGCACAGTAGTGTAAACTTGTCTTCCCAGCTACTAATGTTTCTTCCCCAAATGTCCTATTTTTTTGCCCTCCTCCGAAGCCACACCTGACAAACATGGCTACCAAAAATTCTTTGTATCTTTATTTTCCAAGCTGCTTTTCTGAGGCTGTGGACACATGTGCTAATCCAGATCCAAAAAAGGCTTATGTGAGTGAACCCCAATTGTTTAGCTCAGGTCATCAATTCAAGACAGCGCACTGACTCAAACTGCTCTGCTGACAAACATTTGAAGATAGCAATATCCAAACTGGAATGCATCAAAAACTGGCATTGATGACTTCCACCAAAAAAAACAGGAATTCAGAAGCAAGTGCCAGCCCAAAGCCTGATACGCATAGGTATAACCTCCTATAACCCAGTTAATGCTCTAGGCCCCTTGCTTGCTTCTCTCTCCTGTGTAAAAATCTCCTTCTTGACAAGATGTTGCCTATTTCTGATCTATTCTCTGACAGAGGTAACCACATAACTGCACAGATAGGTAAGAGGGTGGACAAAAAGCTGTTTCAGTTGGCACTCTCATAGCACTCGTGAACTAAACTTTAGCTTTTACATGACCAGCACTTTGGACCTCCTGGGTCACTGTTACCCAATGCAGAACCTGAGCTCCTTTAGTTAGCCATGCTCAGTGGCAGCAAGTGTTCCCACCAACATCACCTGAGATCCCATACAAACAATATATAGCTTCCAACATTCTCCATCCCCTGAAACACTGTTCAATGAAATAAAGCCTTTTTAGTTTAATAACTGACATTTTCAAGATGTCTTAAATAACTAACTGCTAAAACAACCAGTGTTTCATTTGGTATTGCAACCGGTCCAACTTCTGTCAACCTCCTCTCTGCAGATAACCTAAAAATCTCGTAAAACAAAAATTAATCTTTGAAAAGCCTATACACAGGCTGCTTTGGAGTCCTATTCTAATGTCCATACCAATAAGGCTACTTAATTCTTAACTGTGTACAGATAATGTAACTTGTGTTTATATTTATATATGGTGTAAATACACAGAATGTGTGCAGGAACCAGAATATGAAGAAATATCTATCTCCAAAAGCTAATCATAGCTGGTTTATAAATGAGAAAGAAATCAGCAGTATTTTGAAGTTTACTTAAAAAGCTTCATACTGAGACTTACTCATAAACAGTATCAATATCAAAAGCACTAAGCCTGATTAACGATTTCCTCTTCCATGTGGATGCATGAACTTCTCTGAATGTTTATTTCTTCTCTCATATATTTGAAAGCACTTGATCAATTTTTAGAACTAAACCACTAAAGCAACAGTTCCTTTGACTGCTCTTTGATCTAATATAATAACTTCAGCAGTTACATTAATTCAATGATTAAGTTTGCAATTGGGCAGCTCTTCAGTGTTTTAAGGTAGAGAGGGTAGACTTTGCTCTTTATTCTATAACTACTGCACAAGTTATTTATTTTTTTTTTTAGCAAGGGAAATTGTTCTGAGGTTATTGGGCTTTGGCAATCCAGAACTACGTTCCCATTTCTCTTACCTTTATTTCAGTTTACTCAATGAAACAATTCTGAGTAATTTCACTGTACTTCTAATGTGTTTTGCTTCCTAGTTTCCAAACAAATTTGTAACTTTGAAAGCAAATAGTTGCAAAAAAGCCCCCAAATTATTTTTGAAATCTCTGAATTTATCTTTTAAAGGAAACACAACTCAGGGAAATACAAGTATAAACTTAGGGTTTATATGTCACATTCTCAATTAAAGCTAAAATTTTAACCAAAATTAAGATGTCAATAAAATTTTCTACAGTTCCTTTAATTTGATTTGCCACGGTACTTGCTGTATACTTACCTATTTATTCTCCTCTGAATACTTTATCTACATACTATAGTAAATATATAAAGTAGAACAGTTTTCAGCTTACGGTTATCTCTCCCAGACATTTTATTAGACGCTTGCTAAATATTCAACCATAATATACATAGTTATGTCAGTGGTTAAGAGATGAAAGCCTACATTACTTCACTCAGGAAATGAAGTGCAGGTTTCGGTCCTTTCATTGCAATATCCTTCAGTGCATGGAACATAAATGTTTTTGCAGTGGACTGTTCAACAAGCGGGTTATGCAATGGCTTACACAGCTAAGTCACTAGATGATTTTTAAAGCCACAGGGTTAATACATAGTGATAAACTATTCAGTTATAATTGTAGCTTTCATGCCAGTTAAATTAAGCACTGTGACTATTACCTAGTTAAAACATACTCTGTTATTTAACCGAAATTCAAATTTTGATTCCCCTGAAATCTCAGTGCTTCAACACCTGTTAAGCTATATTGTCCCACAGCAAAAATCAAATCCAGGAATTTTAACACTGATTAAATTAAGCAAAACACTGGGGGGTAAGAAAGGTAGGAAATCTTCAAGAAGTTTGTACATGAAGAAGCAACATCTCATAGAAGACAATCGCCCAGTGACCAGTTCTCAGTTGTAGTTGAAGAGTAAGTAATGATGTAGTAAGGACAATTTTTTAAAAAAATATCAGCTTTATTTCTTTTTTCCCCAAATATAAATCATACTAATATAATGGAAGTTTTTTAATTTCAAGTTTGAGTTTTCTAGACCTCTTATGGTCATTACTGTCTGGAAGTCTTAGGTGACAAAAAAGAAAGGGATCAGTGAGACCATTTTTTATATCTCCATTACAATGCAGGGTGAAGGACTCTGAACAATGGCAATCCCCACTTCTTGCTTTAAAAACTCTGGGACAAATTTCTATAATGTCATTAAGACATCATTAGTTTCCCACATGAAAAGTGAGCCCACAATCAAAAATGACGTAATCTGAAATATTCCGGTGATAGAGTGTTAACAAACACCGATGTTCCAGCTGCCCAGATTGCATTGTAATTATTTTAAACAAAGATAAGTAGGGTTAAAATAAAAAATAAAGGATAATGACTGAACTTCCCCAGACCAAAATGCCCTTGATACCTCTGAATTTCACATTACCATAAAGAAAAATAATTGCTACATAAATTAACAGGTATAAGGCAGTAACAAAACCACTTACTAATTTCCACATGAAGTAATTTCTATATATTTATTTAATTAAGAATGTCTTTTTGAAAGTAATACAATCGTGGTTTAAAAATTTCAAATTACAACAAATCTAGCTACATACTGAAGCAAACTGTTAGATAGTTTTGCCACACACTTTCAGTCTAGGAATAACTTCTGGCTCCTAAAGGCATTGTAGTATTTTCTCATTTAATAGGTTTTTCCTACACTAAAGTGTCTTTACTATTACTATCAATGCATTAATTCCTGACAATTACAGAGATTTTAGGTATTCCCAGGTTATGTATACCATTGGTCCTTATTCTTGACACTTTTGAAAGGATGAGTTACAACTATGAACTTAGCCTTGATTCAAATTACCAGAAAAACTTCCCAGGATGCTTTTGGTGTTCTGTAAAGCAGGCAGTACACTATTGATTGTGGATCCTCTCCTCTTCTCCAAATACAATCAGGATTTTATGTTTTCAAAGTGTCATGGTCACATCAAAAATATATTAAGCACTGGATAAAAACAGCTAAAACTTTAAAATTGTTTCCTGTAATTGTATTTTTTCCCTTCTGAACTAGTATCTTCAAGAGGATAGACATTTATGCCGGAAGCAAAGTGTTACTCACTGTGAACAAGGAAGCAAAAATCTTTCCACATCAGCAACAGAGTAAGCTTTGTGAAGCCTTCTGCATCGTATTCCACCACACCACTATCAACAACAACAACAACAAAAAAACCCAAAATAAATATAATTTTTACCTACCATTCATTCTAATACTGAATGATAAATATGTAAATTCTGTATTATAGTGATTACTTTTTTTGCTTGTTTGTTCAGAAACTTTCAATATTTGCTTTATTTATTAACAGTTACAATTTTCTAGCTAAATGAAATTTAGATTAAATTTTTAATCTTAATGATCTTCTTATTTATGCTGTGGTACTGGTAGTTTCTTACCTGAAGAAAAGCTATATTCACTTTACATAAATACACTTTAGAATGAAAGGAGACCTGCTAAAGAATCTGCAGTACTAAATTGGTAAAAACTTTATACACACAAATTCCCTGTATGTTACTCTGATTAAGATATTTTATTAACTCTGTAGTAATTGACAGGGTAAAACTGAAAAGGCACAGTCTGAGAAGAATTTAAATTTGAAAATTCAAAAGACTATATATACAAAAAAGCAAAGCATGAGACCATACAAAAAATTAAATAGGTAAGAGCTGTTTGGTAGACAGATTGAAAGTTTCGACTCTAAGGAGTCAAGATTCTCTGAAAATTTCAAGCAGTATCAGGACTCAGGAACCACTTCACAAGTGAAATAAAATCACAGGCACACCTGGGCCATTTCTAGACTGTGGTTTTCTCAGAAGAAAAATAAATATCTTGTTTTCATAAGGATTGAGCTTTCATGGACTCTTTTATCTATTCATATATTCAGTTCAAGTCATTGTTCTCTCTCTGTATTTGTATAAAATTTGGGTGCATGCTAGAAGCCACCTGTCATCTTATCCTCACTTGAGAGACCTGAGATTTGAAGGGCTCCTGAATATCCATGCCATTTGGCATCATCACTTGGAAGCAGAAACCCTCTCCTCAGAGTGAAGTAAAGCACTACTGGTCAGGCAATTGCTGTTGTATTGGCTCCTGGGCTCCTGCTCAAGTCAGGATTTAGGTGGGAAACCAAAGTGTCTACCCTTCACAGTGCCAAGGCACACCTGATTAGTTGATGTGTCATCATGCCAGGCCATGGACCTTTGAACGGTAGGAATTCAACACGACCCAAGAGCCCCTTCTCTTGAGAGACAAGATACTACTTGGTGGTGGGAGCAGCTGATCTCCCAGTCCTGCCTTTATGCTAGTGGTTTCTGGCTCCTGCAAGGCTTGGAACAATACCCACCTTCCTATCCTCCCACCTTAGTCATCGCCTATTACTGTAAGACCCCTCCAGTCATTTATTCAGAGATAAGCACATTTCTTTCGCATGAGGAGAAAATCCCTACTGTCCTTTTCCCATAATCAGCTATTTTCTAGCAAAATCAGATCGGCAACTGGCATAGAAGTTATGCTGAACTTCATTCCAGTACCACTACAGAGAGACAATCTATGCATGTGATTCTGTGAAAAATGACCAGATTTCATCTTATCTAGTGGACAGCAGTTACACAACCAAAGACTGTATGAGGAAAACCACACTTTTCCCCATGCTACAGAAAATAATGCATCAAAAGAAAACTTACGTTCCAAAGTGACTCAGGAAAGCTGCGATATACTCTCTTCTCTTATGGTATCCCTGAATAACATATTGCACCTTAAAAAAGAAAGACAGAAACAAATCAAGAGCTATAAAAACATTAAAAAGCTCCCTATTTGTCATATATTCCTCATTAAGGAAGATTGATGTTTGACATGGTAATTGTTCCGAATCCTACATTTAGCTTTCACAATTTCCCTAAAGAATCCTAAAATGCCTCTACAGGATCAAACAGTGGATCTCACACACCGAAAATCTTGAAAAGAAATCTCTTCACTCCTGAGTGAAACTTTCACAATACATTGAAACACTGTTTAACTGCACAAGATAGAGTGAAGAAAAGAAATGCATGACCTTGTGTTGATGAAATTTGAGCAGGTAGCTGAGATAGGCAAATCATAATTACCTGAACTAACAGTTGGTTAAGTGTCAAAATAATATTCTGGTTATAAAAGAAAAGGAAAAAAAAATTCACAACTGATCTTGGATGTTTTCTGAAGACTGCACCTCCAACAAAATCTTCTTAACAGTAATCTCTCTCAGTGGTTTCATGCTGACTCAGGGAGACACCTACTCAACTGCGAGCATCAATTTCTGAGGCATTCTGGGTTTTGAAAGGCTTCCATCCTGGCACAGACAAAATCCAACAATGCTAAACTTGGAAGACTTAAGGCAAAGTTCGCCTTGCACCATGTATGTTTTCTTATTGATTTGAATGGGATTACTTAGCAGAACAGTGTGAACAGAGTTTGACCCATAACAGAAACAGTGCACGTGTTGTCAGGCTGCAAGAGCATCTGGTTTAAAGCTGGTTACTTCAAGTACTTATGGTATGGTTTCATATGTGAATCCCTTTACCTTCCAGAATGGAAACTAACATTTTAAAAAACATTTTTTTCCCCACTGAACATGAAAAAAACAGGAAGAATATTTTTTTTCTTGGCTATGGTAATACTAAAATTCCTTGGCTAGCAAATGCTTTCCTAAATTTTTTGAAAAGGCCTTGATATAATAATTCCTGAGAGCTATCTTGTACCCCTCAAAGATAAATTTTTTTAGAAATTTATTTCATAAAAAACCTATGATTATTTTGAAGGCTTTGTGTAGGATCTGAAGTGTTATTTTGAAAAAAAAAACCATATAAGTTTGCTTAAGTGACTTTAAAAAAGGATAAAACCAGTCCTGTGTACTTGTAGATTTTAAAAACAGAAAGTAATTTTAAGAGAGAACCACAACAAAACAAGTCTAAAGATAGATTCCAATATAATTATGGAAACACATTTTGAAGAACTTTTTCTAAAAGATAAAATTATTTTCCTCATTTGGACAATTGAAGGTAAAAATAACATACAAATACAAAGAGGAGGTCTATAACAGGCAGATTCCTAGACATCGGCCCCTAAGCTTTCCTTTGAAAATTACACTTAAATGGAGAAGCTTTCAAAATACTGTACTCACTCTTTTTTGTTTAAACAGTAAGCTAACCAGAACACAACCTTTTCATCAACCTTAGGTAGCTATTACTATATAAACATCCAAATAGACTGCCGATTCAGTTCATTTGGATGAAACATCTGAGAAGAAAATCACTGAAATACACTGAAAACCTACAACGATGACTACAGTATGAAAACTTCCAGCTGGAAAAATAACATGCAGACTACACATTTGTATTTACTAATAAAATAGTTTGCTACAATGTAGTGTTGTATGATACAATAAATTTTATTCTAAATCCTAACATGTCACACACACTAAGAAAAATCCACTCCAGGCTCTGATCCCAAACACTCTTGTTTGCCTAAAAGAATCATTATATTCAATGCCTTGCTTAGGTGCTCAACTCTTACCAAGGTATTCTTTGTGTAGTTCACAAGTATACCCTGCTTCAACTATCTGGCAGAAGAAAAAGCATGTCTATGGAAATGCTATAGCGTATTACTACAATACAGTACCGCATATAAGGGAAAGGAAAATTGAGTACTCTTTACTAACTTACCTTGTTTGTTAGCAGCTGGCATACTTGGGGTACATAGTCGATGAGACAACCTCCACCAGGAAAGGCTGGGATGTGAAGGGCAGATGATCCTCCAAGTGCACTAGAAACAGATGTTAATGTAACAGTATATTACATGTACAGTCCCTGGGATTTGAAAGTGCTTTCTACACTGTCCACTTTCCCTGTGCTTAAAGTCAAAGGGCCACGATGAGGAAGTGGGTTTTATGCTGTGGTGATATAAAAAATATTGAATTATACCATTTGTAAAAACAGGTTATACCATGATCCAATGTAAATAAACTACTTTAATCAAGGGTATCACTAATTCAAAGCATTCTCTCAGGACATAGCTTTTTCACTGTAAACAGTTCTGTTTCTTAGCCCTCGTCAGTAAGATGCAGAGAACTGTAGTTAACATACCTTGTTATTGTGGGAAGAGAGGACTTTGAGTCTTGAATTATTCAGAAACTCACCTTCAGTCAAACCAGCTAAGACCAAGCAAAATAATTTGGACTGAGGAGTAAGAGATGGCCAGATGCATGTCAGCCATGCCATCTACTCCAGTTTTGGGCCTCTCAGTACAACACAGATGTTAACCAACTAGATCAAGGTAGCAGTGGGCCATAAGGTTATTACGTACACAATGTAAGGGGGGGGATGCTGAGAGAAATGGGTTTGTCCAGTCTTTAGAGAACACTGGGGAGGGGGGGGGGGAAACTTTTCCAGCAGAAGTAAGACTTGAACAGTATCTTTTTTTTTTTTTTTAAACAG